TGTGATGATGATGTTGATGATGATGATGAATGTGATGATGATAGTCAATGTGTTGATGATGTTGATGATGATGATGAATGTGATGATGATAGTCAATGTGATGATGATGTTGATGATGATGATGAATGTGATGATGATAGTCAATGTGATGATGATGTTGATGATGATGATGAGTAAAGTGTCAGGCAGTGGTGTAAGTGTGATGTTTGCCTGCAGGTGGTGGTGAACGCTCTGATCGGGGCGATCCCCTCCATCATGAACGTCCTCCTGGTCTGCCTGATCTTCTGGCTCATCTTCAGCATCATGGGCGTCAACCTGTTCGCCGGGAAGTTCGGCCGCTGCGTCAACCGGACCGGGTACGTCTACGACGCCTCCTTCATCAACAACAAGTCCGAGTGCGAGGCGTTCAACGACACCTCGCTGTACTACTGGAGCAAAGTGAAGGTGAACTTCGACAACGTGGGCGCCGGATACCTGTCGCTGCTGCAAGTGGTGAGCGTGGGGGGCGGGGGTTGGGGGGGGGGGGGCTCATTTGTCCTGCAGAATAAGAAAATGTTTCACTGCAACTCAAAGACTCCATCAGAAATGTGGATAATTAAAGGTCAAAGAGAGTTTGAACCAAATCAACATTTCTGTGGTGTCAGCATTAACCCTTTAAGTGTCATGGAGGCTTCTTGCTTTAGCTTTCAGATGTTTTCATCCACTGAATATTGATGTGAAGGCTGAGAAGAACCTGTGGCTGTGACACCAAACACACTGAACCTAAATCTACACGGGAACATCTGCAGCTTCAGCCTGTCTAAATCTGATCTGAACTTAGTGAGGTCAACTTTAAAAGACATCTGCAAACTCCTAATTTACAATAAAAACCTGCCGAGGCGCCGAACACGAGAAACAAACGTTTTAGTTTAAATCTGTGTTAAAGTCCGTCCGTGGTCGAGAAGGTTTTGGGTCCACGAAGGTGGACTTCATGAAAACTCCTCAGATAAAACTTCATGTCAAGTTTATTGTCATTCGCATCAAATGTGGTACACGAGGTGGAACAAAGTTATGTACTCAGTGTCCCAGTTAGATCCAAAAATAAAGTATAAAAAGAACCAGTACATGAGGATCTAAGATGTACGCTACACACTAATAATGTTCAATAATACGGTAAATTAAACAGCAGCTCGAACATGAGTCTGCAGTGAGCAGATGGGTATGAATGAATACAGCTGCATGAGATCAGCAGCATGAGATCAGCAGCATGAGATCAGCAGCACAGACAAGTCACATATCACCAATTAAACACTCCGATTAAACAAGAATGTATAATATGGTTCATAAATAAATGAAATAAAGTCAAAGACTTGTAGAGAAATGTCCACAGTGAGGCACGGAGGTGGCAGCATCATGCTGTGGGCCTGATCTCCTTCAACAAGTCCGTAAATTATTCATATTTATAAATTCAGGCCAAATGCAAAAGAAAATTAGTTCCGGTCTTTGATTAAAGAAGCAGCACGAAGAGTGAAACGTTTCAAATCTTTCACTGCGAGTGTTTGGACTCGTCTCCGTCGTCACGACTTTACTGGACGAAACATCGAAGGACCGCGGTTCTAACCTGCAGAAGCCCGTTTGGACTCCGGACTTTGGATGAAGCGAGCACAGCCGGAGAGGTTTGAGACGACGGCCTGCGGTGACTCATGCCGGCTCAGCTTTCAGTCGGTACCAGACATAAAACAGAACCGCGGAGCTTTTCTTACTGCCCTCGTGTTGCTAAAGAACCCATTCAGAACCAGAACCCTGCAGAGAGAAAACTCAACAGGAAGGATCCGAAGCCTCCACAGAACCCGAAGGTCAAGTTTCTTTTTATATTTACTGAATTAGAGACCGTCAGGACCCCGGAGCCTCCCGCAGACCAGGACCCACAGAACCTGACCCAGGATCAGACAATAAACCCACTCAGACGTCCAACCTTTTCTCCAGAACCAAGAGGTCCAGACGGATTCGAGCAGAGAAGCTGCTCATGAACGCTCTCCACCTACAGACTCTTCTTCACGCAGCTCATTCTGGACTCCTCTTCCTCTTCTCAGATTATTTAATTTTTTTTTTTTATTTATTTTAAATAGATTTTTTACTTTTTTCTGTTCATTTTTCCAACAGAACCTTTTATAAAATAAACCACCTCTATCTGCAGCAAACGATGCATCAAAACACAAATAAACCATAAATTATGAGTAGGTAGGAGGTCACTGCGGTAAAAGATGAAACTGCAGGACAGAGGAACGTTCAACAACAGAGGAAACCTTTAGGAGGTGTTTTCTAACTCGCTCTAGTTCTATATTTATCACTTTGATCAGTTTTGATTACTTTGGTTCTGTGTTCTGATCGTCTTATGTTTTCATTTCCTCCATCAGTTTTTAAAAGTCCCATCAGTGTCTCCCCCTCGTCTCTCCTCCTCCTCCTGTTTCCTCCTCCGCCGTCTCTCCCTCCTTTACTCCCCCCGGCTCTCTCGTCGCCCACTGTGGGCATCCTGAGAGCCTCCGATCAATCAGCGTCTGAGAGGCTTTTATTTTTAGAGCGTCTGCAGCCAGGTGCCTGTAGAGTCGGAGAAAAGGTTCAACTGACAGAACGAGAAGAAAGGAGCAGCACAGGAGGAGGAGGAGGAGGAAACAGGTGAGATGAAGAGCAGAAAGAGAACGGATGAGTCAGAGAGGAGGGATGATTGACAGGTAGAGGTGAGCAGACAGAGGACCACAGAGCTGCTGCCTGACCCTCACTAAACCACAGCTTAAGAGTTGTCAGGATCCCGTCGCCGTGGCAACGAGCCACTCAGCACTTCTCAGCACTTTGCCAGTCGGCGCGGCAACAGTTGGCGGGGGCAACCTCTCCATCAGCATCTGGAAATAGAAATGCTTGTGAGCCCTGAAGGGTTGAGCTTGTTGCTCTGATCCGAACTGGTTTTAAATATTAGATGTGACCCGGTTCGACCCGGTTCGACCCGGGTCGACCCGGCGCAGCTCCAGCTCATTAATCTGATGCTGATTACTTCTTATCTCATTAAAGTGAAGGTCTAAAGCCCCGTTTGAGTCGTGGTGTCAGATCCCACAGACAGGTCCAGGTTTCACTCCATCATTTACCACCACACCCCGGCCGTCGCTCAACGACAGGGAGGAGCCACCCTGCAAAGTCCCGCCCCTTTTTAGGGAAAACAACCGTTTCATCCATCTATCCATCATCTTTACCTGCTTCTTCCTTTTCGGCTCATTGGGGTCACTGGTGTCCAGCAGTCGCTGTGAAAGAGGCAGGGGACACCCTGGACAGGTCTCCAGTCTATCACAGGGACACATAGAGACAAATGAGACAACCATTACTGGAGTACCCGGAGAGAACCCACGCAGTACGGAGAGAACATGCAAACTTCTCACAGAAAGGTCCCCGACTGGGATTTGAACCAGCGACCTGCTTGCTGAGATGCAGCAGCTCTACCACCTGCACTACCGTGCCGCCTGGGAAAAAAATCGGGAAATCAACCTCCACTTGAAATAAGAGAACAACAATTTTTGAAGCTTTTAGGTGTCCCAAATTCTGTCCTGAAGGAAAGGCTGCGGCTTTGTTTTAGAACTGCTGCAGTCCACGCCCGTCCACCGCCTGTCCACTGCCTGTCCACTGCCCATCCACCGTCTGTCCACCGTCTGTCCACCGCCTGTCCACCGCCTGTCCACCGCCTGTCCACCGCCTGTTCACCACCTGTCCACCACCTGTCCACCACCTGTCCACCACCTGTCCACCGCTCATGGACGCCACCACAAACAGCTCTTTGAAAATCCGATTGTGTGAACCGAGGTTTGGACCCAAAGATGCCGACGGACACGGGGTGCTTCCATAAAGAAGCTGAACGAAGGAGCAGCAGGAATTAACTGAGGAAGAGTGGTCCAGAGGAGCAGAAAACACCAGAAGAAGGGACAAACACCAAGAGCTACCAAACCCCAAATACTCGACACCTGTCCTCTTAGGTTTTCACATGTGGAGAGGTTTTGTCCTCAAAATGGTAAATGGTAACTGGACTGTACCTATACAGCTCCTTTCTATCTTATTTCAAGATACTCAGAGCTCTTTACAACAATCTGTGCCTCATTTACCCGTTCATACAGCTCTATACTAGATCTCTACAAAGCTAATTGAACCAATCATTCTAAAGAGACTAATCAGAGCTTTATCACATTCAGACACTGATGGGACACACATCAGAGGCTATGAGGGGCTCAGTGTCTTGCCCAGGGACACTTCGGCATGTGACTGCTGGTGGATTCGAACCCCCAACTCTCGCATTGGATGACGACTGCTCTAACCACTCAACTCATTTACATGTGGCCAAACTCAGTCAGTGCAGAGAGGCGCCATGTGGTCGACATCACAGTTTGAGGCACACATCTCCCTTCGTGAGAGCTTTGAGAATCACACTGATGTGATCATTTTTAAACTGCAACCTGCAGAAACCAGTTATTTATCGTCTTCGTGTTTCACTGGAGCTCCTTTCTTTCAAATTAATTCAAACTTTCAGTCCATGTTTGTTCCTGAATCTGTGTCAAAGTTTGTGAAACTAACGGGTCAGCCAGGAGGCTGAGCGGGAAGTACCGGGGGTTCAATACCTCTGAAGACCACTAAGTGGCTTCAGTAAGCTGTTAAAAAAATTAACTTATTTTCCTCACATTAATAGATGAAAGGTTCTGATTGAAACCATTTAAAACTCTCCAGAACATTTACAGACGGCCTCCAAATAATTATTTTCTACTTCGTCCCCTTCTTGTCCAAATAACGTTCTTAAATCTCCCAGATGTTAAAATCAAATCCGAGTTCAGGGATTTCAAAATGTCACCGAGTTACGAAACGACAGTTCAGTCCTCTTTAATAACGGCTCTGTTTCTTCTGCTTTAATGCCAGATTTAATGAGCAGCTCTTTTCTTCAGCGTCACGATCTGAGTCATTCCTGTAAATGAAATAAGTTCACGTTGTTTTCACGTCCTTCAAGAACGATGCAGCTGCACGTTGTGTTGAACGATCGGTACGAAGAGTTCAACGTGAACGCAGGTCAGACTCCAGGGCTGAAACGAGCTCACCTGTCTCGTGTTGTCATCGTTTACACACCAGGCAGACCATAATATTAACAGGTGGTAACCATGGCGACGAGCTGATTCCAGGCCTGAGCGAAGGTTTCAGTCAGTTTTCTGTTTTCTTCTAACTCCCCCAGAGAAGTAGGAAGTCCTTATAAGGACGTGTTTTTATTATTTACGGCTAAAACAGGTTTTTCCTTTGGATCGTTTTCTTCCAGTTGTTTGTTCTGAGGCAGGAAATGAGCGTTGCCGTGGTGATGGATGCAGAGGACCTCTGTGGACCCGAACAGAATCGGGGTGTTTTACCTGACGCTTGAAGGAGACGGAGCCGATAACTCCACTTCCTGCACGTCTAAACGTTTATGTCTTTTATTTCTGTTCTCATCTCCTGAGGATTTGATTTCACCTCAGTGAAAACAGGAAGTGAGGCCTAAAAGAAACTGTGGGATATTTAAACTTCGTAATAATAAGGGTTGAAGTTCTGTTTGTACCTGATTATTTAGGCCACGCCCACTCCCACCTGCACCCAGCTGCTCCTCATTTCCTCATTAATCTCAGAACGTAAAATCTCTCAGCTTTGATTTTGCTGAAGTTTAGCTTCTTCTTAAGCTTCTTGTTTTGTTTGTAATAAAGTTTGTTTTTTGTTGGTCAGGTCTTTGTGTCAGTTTGACGTCCTGGGTCCAGATCCAGGTTTGACGTCCTGGGTCCAGATCCAGGTTTGACGTCCTGGGTCCAGATCCAGGTTTGACGCCCTGGGTCCAGATCCAGGTTTGACGTCCTGGGTCCAGATCTTCACCAAGACCGCCAGAGTTTATCTGACGTCATGAACGAGATCTGAAACTGGTTTTTATTCACACCAGCTTCAGTCTGTAATGGTTCTGCAAAGACACCCTTTCAAACATTAGGACTTTGAACTCCAACAGTTGTCTTTTAATTATCTAAAAGTTTGTTTAAACTTTATTTAATGAAATGATCTTACGTTCTAAAAATAAAAACGTTTCATTTTCTGACTTTAGTTTACAGGAGAAACTGTTTACAGAACTCAGTTTTTACTGGTCTGGATTACGTCTGCAGGAATTCTAGCCCTGGATTTAAAAACGGGAATCCCCACAGTGACTCCAAACATTATACGAAGGGATTTCCCGACGCTAACGCAGCTGGCACAGAACTACGGTCAATTCCAAAGGAAATCAAAAGGATTAGAAATGAAAGAATATATAATTCTTTAATTATAAACTGGTTAGAAGACTTTGATTCACAGGTGGATTACGTAGATAATGATAATTTAGTTAACGGGATCAGACGTGTTCGTCTTTGTGGATTTATTTTTTACAAAAGTCTCAGTTGTAACAAACATATAAATGTATGTTTTTCCCATGGCTGCCAGTGATCATGTGACTCTTTCCACAGCACGGCTCATAAACGTTTCATGAAGACATAAAAAACAAACTGAAACAAAAAGAGACTTTTTTTTTATTCAGATGTTTTTTTACGCTTTTCAAAATAAATGTTTTTCTTATTTGTTTTCTTCCAGGCGACATTTAAAGGCTGGATGGACATCATGTACGCAGCGGTCGACTCGAGAGCGGTGAGTTATCATTTGAAACTCGTCTTTTTTACATTAAATTTAAGAAATATTTATATATTTTTAAGAGGGGGTTCCTGAAAAGACTCATCTAAAACAGGAAATAGTATTTTATAACAAGTGAGGTGAATAAAACCAACAGAGTTCAAAATAAAACCTTTAAGATTTTATCCAATTAAAGTTGATAAGAATTAAAGATGAGCAGCGCAAGAGCCTAAATGAATTTCAAGCGTTTGTTGTTGCAGGTGGAGGAGCAGCCGATCAAAGAGATCAATCTGTACATGTACCTGTACTTCGTCATCTTCATCATCTTCGGCTCCTTCTTCACCCTCAACCTCTTCATCGGTGTCATCATCGACAACTTCAACCAACAGAAACGAAAGATAAGAAGCAGAACAAACAGCCGTCATTTATTTATTTATTTGCTAAAATGATTAACGTTGATTTGATTAGGTCTGAAAAATGGTTCCAGGTAATCGGATTCTTCACAAATTAAACATTTTAGCGTCTCATGAATTCTGTTTAAGGGACGTGAGATCGATCAGACGTCCTCAGAGGATTCTGCGTCGTCGTTTTATAATAACGGAGTTGTGTTTGTGTTGTTTACTTGGGGGGACAGGACATCTTCATGACGGAGGAACAGAAGAAGTACTACAACGCCATGAAGAAACTGGGCTCCAAGAAACCTCAGAAGCCCATCCCGAGACCTCTGGTACCAACGCACGGGAGAACCTTTCACAATAAAAGCACTGTTCATGGACTGAGTGGGTCCAGTAAAGTTCTCGTCTTTCCTTCCAGAACCCTCTGCAGGGGTTCTTCTTCGACCTGGTGGGGAAGCAGGCGTTCGACATCATCATCATGGTGCTGATCCTCCTCAACATGATCACCATGATGGTGGAGACGGACGAGCAGTCGGCCCGGATGGAGAAGATCCTTTACTACATCAACCTGGCCTTCATCGTCATCTTCACCACCGAGTGCACCATCAAGATCGTGGCGCTGCGCTGCTACTTCTTCACCGTCGGCTGGAACATCTTCGACTTCGTGGTCGTCATCCTCTCCATCGTTGGTCAGTTCTTCTTCTTCTTCTGTGATTATCATCTTATCTTTTTCCACCAAGAAGGAACGCTTCAGGAGACAGTTTGTGTTGGAGAATAAAAAAATAAAATGTATCCACAGAGGAAGGGTTAACAGATGAGAACAGCATTCCACGGAGACTGAACGTTTGCAGATTGTGTGAGCAACAGAGAGCAGTCCAGCATCAGAAGACCTGAGAAGATGTAGGACTGAAGGAAGTCTGAGAGGTTCTGGAGAACTGGACCATGCGGTGGTTTGCCAGTGAGAAGGTCTTTGAATCCAAGGCCTAACTGGAACCAGACAAGTTGACTGAGGATCAGATGTACGTGTTGTCTATGGTTGGAAGGATGAGACCTCAGGGCAGAGTTTTGGACAAATTGAGACCTTCCCAGATCTTTCCAAGGTTCCCTAAGTCCATTGCAGTAGTCCATACAGAAGGTTAGGAAGCCATAGATGAGGGTTTCTGTGCAGCGTGGAGGAGCGATGACCCGAGTCTTGAGATAAAAATGACAGATGTGTGTTAGTTTTGTGTAAGTTGAATGAGAGGGAAACCCACAATGTGGAGTTTCAAACCTTGAAGGATGAGCAGATCCTTCTATGTCCAGAAAATATCTGTAAAGCTGTGTCTTTAGGACCACAGCCAAGTCCTCAGCAGTTCTGCTGAACATCTCCAGGCTTTAACGCTCAGTGGGCAGTTGACCAGGGAGCGTGAGATGGTGTGGCACCGATGTTTGTGTATTTGTCATAAACAGGTCAACAAGGTCAACAATGAAACGTTCAGGATGAGAAGAACCGATTAGACACGCTTAAAAAAAACAAGAAATACTAACGCATGCAATAAAGATTAAAAAAAAGTTTTCTACAAGGTCCAAAATGAATAACATGGCAGAACGGTGCAACGTTGCCCAAATGCACGTGACACACACCACACAGGTTGTGGGACAGGTCACCGCACAGGCAGCGACACACACGATACAGCCACATCGTGCAGCAGCAACAAACACACTAGCTGTCCCAGATGTGACCCAGATGTGACCCAGATGTGACCCAGATGTGACCCAGATGTGACCCAGCTCCGCCGAGCCGGCAGACAGAGAAGTCGTCCAGAGCCACAGCACAGTCTGGGACAGTCGGGGACAGTCGGGGACAGTCGGGGACAGACGGGGACAGTCGGGGACAGTCGGGGACAGACGGGTCCAGCCACGACTCAACAAAGACACAACAGCTCCTCGTGTCTCGCCCCCAATAAATCCGTGTCTGCAGGTCGTCCAGTCTGTTCCTCAGAGACTGAACACCTGAAGCTGCACCGAGGGGAGAGGGGGTTCGCCGCGTGTCCAGCAGGTCCCGTCCACAAACACCGGCTCACTTCCCTCTCCGTGTTTTCCTCCTCCGGTGCCCAAGTAAACAAAGGACCCAGGGGAAAATGTCTGCCACGAAGTCCCCCATAGTCCTTAAAGTCCCCACTCTCTGACCATCGCAACTCCAAAAGTGTGTCTTAGTCATGGCCGCAGCGTGGGAGTGCAGTGCACTTGACGTGGACATGTTGCACTGTGGTATAAAATGTACTCGAAGCCAAAGCCTGAGAAACGGGGCAGAAAGGACAACCTTTGTACAACAACAGACAACAACAACAAAGACAACAAACAAGACGAGAGCTTTAAAACACAAAAACAGACACTGAGCTGACTGGACATGTGCCGGGGAGGGACAGTGGACAAACTGGACAAAAGCAGTTGCATATGGAGCTCTCGCAGAGGAGGAGCACAGAGAAGGTCGATGGATGCAGTGAAGGAGGAGCTGCAGAGGGTTGATGTGACACAGGTGCATGCTGGGAGATTCAGGAAGCTATGTTTACCTGACGGTAATCTGTCAACAGTGACCATGAAGGTGATGTTTACCTGCACCAAGGCCTCATGGTATGATTTACAGTAACACACACACACACAGGGGGAGCAGAATAACAGCACTAACAGCTTTGTTTTGTGCTGCCTCAGTAGATTGTCATGTTTGTGTGTTTTAGATCTGTGTGTGTGTGTGTGTGCGTGCGTGTGTGTGTGTGTGTGTGTGTGTGTGTGTGTGTGTGTGTGTGTGTG